ATCATTATATAAATATTTTAAATACAAATATATGATTAGAAATATATGAACAGTTCCTTAATAGAGTGCATTTTTGTCTACTTAGCTCTGCTGCCAAATATTCCAGTGATCTTCTCACTTGCATTCTTCAGAAACATGTAGGAAGCACAACTTCACATTACAGGTCATTTTGATAAATATGTAGTAAACGCTTTTCCTGGAATGGTGCTATGGCAGATTACATAAAAACAGACCAGGAAATTCAAATTGCCTTACTAACAATGCAAGCATGGTGGTTTAAAGCTGCCTGCAGACTTTTGTTCAACAGAAGCACGAGCTTGGAGTGAACTCAAGACCCTTAGACATCATGTGAACATTTCCACTGGTTTCGAAGGAGGTAAGTGAAAGCGGCACTGAGCGCTGTAACAACGGGGCTTTCCAGCCCTGCCTGAGGAGCAGCAGTTCCTGCACGGCTTTCAGCTGATTCCACAACCCACGTGGCAGGAGCTGTTTGAGATGGAGGACGATGGAGGCGATTCCTACTTCGTCTACTCCAACAGAGTTTTCAAAAATTGCAAACGCTCTCTGAAAGCATGCTTGTAATTTCTTTGTGTGAAACTTGGCACGTTCACTTACTCCCCGAGGCATGAATGACAGCTGTGTGTCTTTGTGATTTTATTTTGTGGACTTCAACTAAATAGGTGTGTAAAAGTGCTTGCGAAAACATAACCGAGCATTGAATTTGGATTCTATTTGCTAAGAAACTTTACCCTTGGGAGGGGGAAAAAAACCCCAGCAAAGCCTTGATTAAGCTTCAAAGTACGCACTGCACAAGGTGCACCCTGTCAGCAAAGAAAAACGGTCATGTTCCTTATGCAATGAGCATTTGAGAACTTCAGTATGCAGCTAGGAAACGCTTCCCATAAAGCTGACAATTTACACACGCTCCTATTTCAGTGGATGAAGTTCCAACAGGACTGGGATGCACGTGCCAGGTGGACAAGATGCTGACTTAGGGAAGATGAAAACTAAGGATTAAATTGTATTTCACGTGGCGTGACTTTCTCTGCAAGTGCCTTTCTGATCCCATCTGATACCACATTAAATCTTAAAGTTAATGTATTGATGCATAATGTATCAGACTTGATGTTTATATTTGAGATATCCGTCTTCAGAAACTTGCTTTGTGGGTTTGTGAGAAATGAATTATGTGGTGGCAGAGCTGTAAATACTGCCAAGCTGGACATCTTCACACGTAACAGATAATACAGGGTAATAAATGAATCTCTTTCATTTTACTGAAATGAATTACCTTTTTATTAAAAAAAACCCAGTACAACAAAAACAAATCCTTGGAGGTTTGGCATTGTCAGCCTCCAGACAGACTTATATATAGCCATACTTAAAAGAAACCAGACGTTGTGTATGCATGTGTGAATAATACTAATGTTGCTACCTGTCTTTAATTTCAGTGATCTCTCACTGTGAAATAACATGAAGTGCCAGCCAGTTGCATGTTCCCCATCCTGTAGATGCAGTTACAATTTTCTTTACTATTACTATTTTTTTATAGCTGTAAGAATAATTCAGAGATCATGCTAGCTGTGTCTTTTTATTTGTGGAGCCGAAGGAGATTTTTTTTCCCCCTGAACTTGGAATTCAAACTGTAATCTCTGTAATAGAAACTGGAAAATTTTCAACATGACATGCTCCTGACATGCAACCTTCTAGTGTGAAGAAACAAGTGGCAGAAGAGCCCTCATATATGAAGTTGATGTAAGTTTGCATCAGTCCCTCTTGTTTCACACTTAGAAATTCAAGAGTTAGTACTGCTTTACTTGTCTCCTGTGCGTTACTGCCTCCCTGACAAGACAGCAAGTTCTGCACGCACGGTTACCATCAGCATTTTGCCAGCAACCCTGACACTCCACTGACTGCTTCAAATGACAGAGTTTCGTTTAACCACAGTGGAAGGACCAATAAGGTCTGGCAAGTACATCCTTTCTCAAGATGGGTTTTTTTTTTTTAGGGGGGGTTCTAGATATCAGAAGTTGGTTACACAGTGAACTTTTTATTGAAAAGCAGTGGAATGAAAGAAAATACATTGTAAACACACCAACCCATGATGAAGAGATATTGTGCTGTCTTCATTACGGGTGAGCAAGCTAGCGAGGACAGCCTGTGCTGCCTTTGCCAACTCGCCACTGCAATGCGTGCACAGAAGCGTCTGCACGCAGGAAAACAAAATTAATCTTCACCTGCAGTTCTCTAGGTGGTGGTCTATATTTAAAATGGGATTTTCTGAATGGAACAGACTGAAGACTTAAAAGAGAGTGTCCGTGGGTCAAAAATCTTCTCAGCCGTACTGTGACTCGGCTTTAGAGGCACATAACCCAAGATCATGCAGTGTCTGACTCCTCGGGTGCCTGTGTGAAGGCACCTCTCGGTGCACTTGCAGACATTTGTGCCTCCTGTGCTTCTGTGTTGCCGGCTTCAGGGATCTCCTGCTCTGTGGCCATTGGCAGGATCAGCACTTTAAAGATAAATACACTCGAGCGGTAACTTCTAAAGCCGTCAGTGCAAGCTTCATTAACAGGTCAGAATTTTGATAGAAAAAAACAACCTTGAAAAGTCCACATAAATACTGCCTTTGCTTTGCAATAGGAAAGGGGTTTTTTTAGCTATTATTATGTCTTCATTTATCCAAATATAAAAGCAGAAAGGATAAACGTTAAGCCTCCAGAAATTCAGCTTGGCTTCTCCTAAGGCACACACTGTGTGCCTTGCATGTGGAACAAGTCCAGGGGGGCTACGAGACAGTTGCGGAGGGACTTTTTACAAGGGCATGGAGTGACAGGACAAGGGGTGATGGCTTTAACCTGAAAGAGGTCAGATTTAGATTAGGTTTCAGAAAGAAATTCTTCACCGTGAGGGTGGTGAGGCCCTGGCACAGGTTGCCCAGAGAAGCTGTGGCTGCCCCCTCCCCATCAGGGTTCAAGGCCAGGTTAGACGGGGCTTTGAGCAACCTGGGCTAGTGGAAGGTGTCCCTGCCCATGGCAGGAGGGTTGGAACTGGGTGATCTTTAAGGTCCCTTCCAACCCAAACCATTCTGTGGTTCTGTGATTTCTTCCAGAGCTGAACAGAAAGCCTGTGGTGCTAACTTGCACCAGCAGGCCCTGATGATGCATCTTGTGGGCCAAATAAAATGATTTGCAGGTACTGTTACTCTCTTTTGTTAGAATTTGTGACTCTAAGTATTAGCCTTAGGATAAGGGGGGGAACTCCAAGCACTAGCCTGTTTTTTTTCAAATTCTTGTGACTTCTGCATGCAAACTTAAACTGCTATAAACAGCATTTTTCATTGAAGAAATTATTTTCTTCTCTTGAAGCTGCTTAAAAAGTTCCTTTTCCTATATTTTATGAAATTATAAGAAATTCAAACAGATCCCTTCTAAGTGTTCATTAAAACCTGTGTGCATTCTTTCTCATTTTTCTCCAACATTTATATTGCAGTTATAATAATGGGAAAAGTTGGGAAAAACCACGTAATTTTTACCACCTTTTCACTTGTTCTCATAAGGTTCTCTACATCACAGCAGAAAAATTTAACAAAAGGCACCTAGCAGTGGGTGAGCATTTTGTTTACATGAAAGTGGGTAACTCTTTGCACTTCAAGCAAGTCACCCGGCAGAACCGGGCTGCAAACCCACCGGGTAACGCCGAGCGAGTAAGGCGGTGCAACCCCCGATGAGCGCGCGCGCGGGTGCCACCAGCGGTGCCACCTTGCTGGCACGCCAGCAGGAGCGAGGGAGCGGGGTCACCCGCCACGGCGAACGGCGCCCATGGAGCGGCACGCGGCAGCACGTTGCCTTTTGCTCCCCAAATCGCAAACCTTGACGCTTCCGGCAGCCATTGCCCAAGCGCCTTAAAACAACCCTGCGCGCAGCGTGCTGCTCTTCAAGGCCGACCTGTGAATGTCTCTTTGTGCGACACATGACTCAGACTGGCTTTTCTTTCGGTTTGATTATCTAAGAATGCATAATTTATCTCATTAACTTCTTAGAGTGCTTGCTCAAGGGAACCGGAAGGGAACAGTGAGACTTTTGTTCAGTCACCAACATACATGAAATAAGGTTTCAGCCAATAATTCATGCACTCAATTAAAAAAAAAACACCTAACAAAAAACATTTGAGAAAAACATTTTGTCCCACTTGTTAAAAAGGTGAAAGAAAAGCCAGCACTTGGTAAGGCTTTTTAAAGGTTAATTATCTTTTCCACAGGGGAAAAAAAAAATATTTTGCATTAAAAAAGGTATACCTGTGTATATATGCACAGGTAATTGACATAAAAAAAGTTCCTGGTGTT